AGAAAGTGGTGATTCAGCTCATCTCAGTCTAAATCAAAATGTATCTAATGAAAAAAAAAATGCTAATTAGTAATTTTGGACTATGTGTTTCGGTACTCTTAGCCAGAGGCCGTCTTAAGAGTATGGATTTCACTGTTTGCAATAACATCAGATTACAATTTCCTGCTTTACTCTTAAGTTTACAGAGCCAGTGGATGTGAATATTTCAGATGACACGACTGTGTTCAGTTATAGGCCAAGATTGTTGTGTAGCTCATCGATATAAATCGATATAAATCGACTAAAAATCATCGTCAGTTTATCCGACCTCTGGAACGAACCGTGGACTTTCCGAAAACAAAAGACATTATAATATGTAATCAAATTTCTTTCCTTGGTATGAAATATCGAGACGTGACGTGTATATAACACTTAAGAAATTGAGTAGTTTTCTTTTTCTCTAAAAGCGACGAGTGAAGTGAGGTGTGGTTTCGTCCATATTATCTCAAGGGGGGGGGGGCTGTCAGGTAGGACGGCTCGGAGGTGCTGCTGCTGTGGTTACTCAGAAAAGCACAGTTTGTTCCATGTTACAAATTGCGAGTAGCTGAGAGAACCAGAGTTTCAGATTATGTACGCTATTGTCTGATAACTGTCAACAAGGTTATAAATCTCTGTCTGCGGTTCGATACACTGCTTCGATTGTATGATATTGCTTCCTAAATCGATACGTGTCGAAAGAGGAAAGCATTCTATACTAAATATTTCTTGAACGTGAGTAGGGAATTGGTCGTAACACTACACTTAAGAAGTCTCTGGTGATTTTATAATGTAAAATTATATAACTTAGCGGTAACCTTCTATTCCAGACTTACGTTAATTATATATGAGCATTTTAATTCACTGCTGTGGAAGCTTAACGTTTGAAAACCTGTCCCTATCATAAGCCAGATTAATCCGGTTCTACATCTTCCAAACTTGTTTCTTTAAAATTAATTTTTTTAAAGGTCCTGTTATCTACGTCTTTGTCTTCCAAGTGGCGTCTTCCATTCAGGTTCACCGACTAAAACTCGATGTGTATTTTTCATCTCTCCCGTACGTGCTACATCCCGGGCCATCTCATTTTTTCTCGATGTTATAATATTTATTGAACAATACAGTTTATGAAGATTTTCGTTGTTCAAGCGAGGTTTGGCTTCAACGTGGTAATGAAACTGCTTGCGTATTTCCCAGCGTTTTGTCATTTTAAATTTTTGTATGCGTCCTGAAGAGTATATTCCTTCTCATAAATGTATTCACTTAAAATTTAAAAAAATAAAATCTATTATATATTAAATTTAAAGGACGTTACTCCTTTGGATAATCTTGAAATGAATTTGCTGAAGTGTTAGCCGAATCCAGTTCTACTACAGCTTGCCAAATAAGTAGATTACTATTACCTTCGTTTAAAAGCCTTCGTCATGGCAGGAAATAAGGACTGAAAGCGACTATTTGTCTCTCTACAAATTGGAATCGTGGTAACTGGATAAATCCAGACACTTCATAATACAGTGTTTTCCTGTGATCTACTTAACTGTTGGGTTCCTCGAGAAAAGCTTGGTGACAGTCCCTCTAGAATGTAATATTTTGTGACGTGAACACATGTTGGAATATTCTAGGTAGATTATACTATAAGTTTTGAGTAAAGCAAAATACAAGTTAAATTGTTTATGTTTGTTGTTAAATTGGGTATTTTAAATGTCTCATATGATTCTGTGCTTGGTCATTGGTATATTTTTTTATGTTTAACTGTACGTCTAGCATCAGTCCTGATATTAAGCATATTTGCGAAGAAGTGTAGTAAAACATTCTTCTCGTTAAAAAGATCAGATGTATGAAATTATTCATTTTTATTTCTTCTTATTAAGTGAATTTCCTAAGTCTTGAATCTCGAGTAATCAGATCTGATTTTCTTAATTTATCTATATACGAATACAGATGGGGAAAAAAAATATCTCAAGTCTTCTGTTTAATGTGAAACTTCGGCTCAGGAAGAAATCGCTTAGTATTTTTAAGGTTTTCAAACATTTCGTCTCAAGGATTTTCACCCGGAAGTTGAAAACTTCTAAGGGTTCCATTAACACTTTCTGGATCCAATACTCCGGATAGACTTCTTCTGAAGAACACTGTCGTATAAGTTAGAACTGGTTGATACAGTGGCAATGCATGTTATTCCTCAGGCACATCACTAGTCATAGTTCAAGTGGTTCTTATTACACACAAATGACTGCAGAACTTCAGTAACACTGGACACGATTTTAGAGAACAGACGCCAGGCGTCCAGACGCCGAACATAGTCACGCCCTCTAATGACGCCAAATTCACCGCAAATAAGAATACAGATGGCACTGTAGACGAGACTGACAAACCGTCGCCTAGCGTCGCGACGCCTTTAAATTAACGTCCTTCGAAAACGGCACCTGCTGAAGTCGCGACGAAAGACGTCGGGGCGCTCAGCGTCGGTTTTCAAGTTTTCTCAATGTCATATGTAGAATTATCTAAGAAACATTTGGCGTCCTGGTGTCAAACGTCGCTTTAGTCCAGATTTCTGTCGTCCTGTCATGGCGTCGGAATGAAAGCCGCCTCGAAGTTAGGCGTCTGTTTCGTATTTTCGATTTCCGTGTCATCCGGAGACGTACCTGCGATTAATGTGTCGCCTCTTAAAGACACCGCAGTGTTTGTCGCAGCGACGTTCAGCGTCACGACTATAGGCGTCGGTTTGTTAACAACGTGACCAAAATTATGGCAAGGGCTTCACGGCACCACCCAAACACGCCAGATGCATGTCTATCAATAACCGTGGGCACGATGTTAGGGTATCGATGTCAAGCGTCGCGACGACTAACATCGCGATACCCGAGGAGGACGCCAAATTAACCTCACATAAGCCTCCATAAGACAGTGAAGACGAAATTAGAAAACCGACGCCGAGCGTCGGGACGTCTGTCGCCGCGACGCCATAACAACACCACAGGAATGTGACTCAAACCATTGTGATAACATTTAGACCTGATTTAGACAATCGACGCCAGGCGTCGCGACGCTTACGTAACGACGCCTTCAAGTTAGTCAAATTTACATCAGATAAGTCGCCGGATGACATTGAGCACTCAACTACGAAACCGACGCCGAACGTCGGTACCCCTGTCGTCGCGACGGCATCACAACAACACAGGAATGTGACTCAAACCATTGTGATAACATTTAGACCGACTTTAGAAAATCGACGCCTGGCGTCGCGACGCTTAATGTCGCGACGCCTTCAAATTACGTCAAATATAAATCCGATAAGTCAAGGGACGACATTGAACACTCAACTACAAAACCGACGCCAAGCGTCGCGACGCCTTCCGTCTAAACGTCATTAAATGACGCTTAAACGTGTTTATGCCCTTGGTGTAACGCTGGGAACGATACTAGAAAATCGACGCCAAGCGTAAGGACGAGCACTGTCATGGCCCGAGGGGAGAAGTGTGTATTGACCAATATGCACGGCTTAACCTTTCACAAAGCAACGCAACCTAACCTAACCCAACCTAACCTAACCTAACCTAACCTAACCCAACCTAACCTAACCTAACCCAACCCAACCTAACCTAACCTAACCTGCAGTATCGCAACCCTTTCATCTCTTCCTTTCACCTCTCATAGCATCTCTTTTCCTATCCTCTGAGCTTCTTTCTTACTTTCTTTTCTCTTTAACTTTCTCCACATCTCATTTCTTATCATCTCTACGTGTACCTTACCACTCTTCTCTTTTACTCTTGTGTTGTCTCATCTCCACTCCTCTGAGGTTAAGGGGTATTTACAGTCAATGCAATATTTTGCTACTCATTGTTTACGACCATACATAGTACGGTGGATGCAGCAATGCTGCTGATTACTGAAAATTCTGTCAAACGTGTTTACCCATTAATCCACTGTTTGATAGTAATAGCACATTTTAATGTATAAACCTAACACTGGACGCAGTCATGACTACGTTTTACATTCCAAGATTCCTGAAACTTCTCAGTGATATCGCTAGATTGCAGAATGTTCTCTTACATTTGTTGCTATCATTTGACAGATTTTAGAAGAATGTGGATGGAAAAGAAATGCAGATGGCAGTGAAGTTGGTAGATAATCAGTAATCTTTAAAGACAGAAATTAGCTACAACTAAAGTGGTCATCGACAGTACATGTAAAAGTTCTGGAGAGAGGATTGAGTTGTTGGAGACAAGTGTGTAGGCTATGGCAGCTGGAGATTTCAATCCAATGGCCGTGTAATTGTTTTTGTGAAACGTGTGGTTTCGAGAGATGTGATGTGTAGCAGAGAGGAGGGGACATTGATTTGTTTTCATCCAATTTACGCTACATGTATAGACCGAAACAGTAGGAATGCTTGGACACATTGGGTCATATAATTATTTACTTTTGAATACATTTTTACATGAAGGCTTTTTTTTAATTCGGTGATGAACCTTCGTGTTCGGTAAGCCATCTAGTTAGTTAGTTATACATTTTTACATACAGCTCGTAATATTAATGTAATTCTAACCAACTCCATAGTCCAGAGTCTGTCTTGGGAGTTGATAGCCGGTTCTTCCCCTCAATTGGGTTTTCCTAAGATTGATTTTAATATTGTACTCTCATCTTAGCTTAGGTCTCCTGAGTGATATTTTCCTTCAGGTAAATTTTATATGCATTTCTCATTTCCTTTATACACACTGCACATTCTGCCCATCCAGTCCTTATTGATTTGGTGATCCTAATGATATTTGGTTTAAAGCACAAATTCTGCAATTTTCTTCAGACTCCCATAACTTCCTCCCTCTTAATTCCAAATATTCTCAAACACCCTCAACTGTGTACGTTTCTTAACATATTATGGAAAATAATAGAAGTGTTTAATATTTTGATTATTATGGAATATTTGTTGTCGCAACTTAGTGTCATCATTGATAAAAGTCCTGCGCTCAGATCCTTCATTGTCTTGCTTGTAGGAAGGTCGAGAGACAACACCGGAGATGGCCACAAGCCCCCGGCGTCAGGTGTCACAGGTTCCAGGTACAAGCACTTCAGGTGTGAGGACCAGGGAACCACCACCCATGGTGGTGCAAGCAGACTTCCGGAAGGTACGCGTTCAGTGCCCCTGTTTTAAACCAACTGCCCTTTATTGACATTTTGAATCTTGAGTAAACTGAGATTGCTGTCTTCTGGGTTGTACTGCTGTGTATTCCGGTAGAAGATTACCACCATCATTGCCTCTATCATCAGGGTGTCATTACCTTCATGATGGAGGCAGCAAGGACCTACGAAATTGCAGTAAACTTCTACTAGACTACATGACGCTACAACCCAGTCAGCAGCCATCTTTGTACTCTGCTGTGAGAACCTCAAATCCTACTTAGTTATTCATGGCGATTGTCAGTCACTCATGGTTACTGTCTGTAAATACAATATTATGATGTCTTGCACCCAGCATTATCAAGATCGCTGTAAGCAATATCTTCTAATTTCATTTTACACTAAATAACCTCCAAAAATGAGCTCAATTGGTTGCAGGAGTAGTTGTAATCATAGACTTCTTTAACATAACAGATTTCGTAAAGTTCTAGATATTTTTAATGATTTCATATTGTTTGTGCAGGTGAGCGGAATCTCGACAGAGATCTACCGACAGATTGAGACAGTAGAGAATGACCATAACGATAAAGAAACAGCTCATGCACTACAATTGGCGGATAAGCATGGAGAGATGGTGGTACGGTTGCTCGATCCCAGGCACATGGGACGTGTTGCGTCCGAAGCTGCCAAACGCTTCCTCGCTCTGCAGGTAAGTTGACATTCCCTGTTAAGTGAAAACTTTAAAACTCCCATGATTTAGTATGTAATTTTATTTTGGTAATACAGTTTCGGTTTGCATTTACATAGTTAATTAAAATTAAGAAAGTGTTGAGTGTTTATTCTGTGCCAAGATTACTTAACATAATATTTTATAAAACTAATTTAACACATTTACTGCCATGCTACCCAATGTTGGGGATTACAAAGGAGCAGGAAGTCGCTTTGTAAGAGAACATAACTTATAAATTCATAAGTCGACACACAAAAATTTCCGATTATCACCTGTGAAAGTAACTGCATTTGAGTGAAATCTGTAAGACATGGGTAACTTTAATGCATGAGAAGTAAAACATTGATGGACGTGCGATGCAAGATTACCAAAACATCCTTCGGTGTTTTTTGGCAGTGAATGTGTTTAACCTGAAAATTGACAAATTTATATGGCATGTCTTCACCAGAATAATAGCATCATCCCCTTTGGCAAACACTGCTTTACGTGAGTTACGATTATGTGTTAGAATACTGAGGATGAAGTGTTTTGATTTTACTTCAGGATGTGAAGCACTTTGTGCATCTGGTGGAGATTGTGAAGAGGCCGGCTCAGACTCTTGGTCTGTACATTAGGGAGGGAAATGGACTTGACCGGTCAGATGGTGTGTTCATCTCTCGCATTGCTTTGGAGTCACCCGTCTACAGCAGCAGCTGCCTCAAGGTGGGCGACGAGATTCTTGCCGTCAACATGGTTGACGTGACGAGGATGAGCCTAGATGATGTCGTCATCATCATGTCCATACCGAGGCGATTGGTGCTTGTCACAAGGCAGAGGAAAGCTGGTACTGTGTCAGTTAAATGCATTTTTAATGCATTAAGTTGTTTGTAGAGCATATTTTATTCTTTTAAATACTGGCTTGTGGAATTTTAACAGTATTGATCTATAGTGTGCCATCCTTTGTAACTTTAAGGAAGAATATTCTCGGGCTTGTATTTATGAACACACAAACATGTATAAAGAGTTGATGAAAGATTCTCGGGCTACAAGCCGCCTCAAGTGGCTTCTTGTTCATTGTTCAGCCACCTGACGCGGCTTGTAGCCCGAGAATCTTTCATCAACTTCAGTCATGCGAAGACTTCACCAGATACATGTATAAAGAGTAACTGCTTCCAGCCATGTTAAACACATTTTTGTTGAAAGCTACACCAGGGGGCAGATGGGTTCTCTCATAAAAAAATTACTTGCTGCTGTACAGTCTAATTGTAGGTTCCATCCATGTTTGAATTGAATGCCACTTTCAGTAAAATTATTTTCCACGTTTCAATTTTTTCGGTAAAACCGCTTCCCGTGTTCAGAATTTTTCAGTAAAACCGCTGTCCATGCTGAAGAATTGTTTTCAGTAAAACTAGCTCACATATTTAATATTACGGTAGCTGCTGAAAGTAATATCTGCCAATATTCAGGTAAGCATATGTCACAACAGCGTGATAAATTTTGTGATACACATTGAAGTTTGCTTTCTATGATTTCTTGAATAACATGGATTTTGATCTCTACAAACTCCAAGGTGAGCAGCTTGTTTCTGTAAATAACAAAACTTATAGAAATTACATGAAGAAACAGAATTACAGTTTATTTTTCTCCCCTCCTCACCTTTCTCTCCAGCTTGAACGTAAAAAGTTACTTGTTGACGTATATAGACTGTGCATCCGAATTCGGTAAGCATTACACGGCGTGGAACGAATTATTGCCCTGATCTGCAAAATTCTGAACAGAGTACAGCACACCCAATGTCACTACCTCTCAAGTGACATGAAACATGGTACCATTTATACGATATGATGATGCCAGTTCTTGAAATATTTTGTCCTGTAACTACAGGAAAGGGTGGAGTAGTGTCGCCTCACCTGCAGCCACGTTCAGAACACAAACCCCCTCCAGTAGTCGTCATCAAGAAAGATCTGAGAGAAGAGGATGACTTGGATGACATGGATGATACAGGATCTCGGAGACGAGGGGGAGATAGCAGGGAGATGGTATCTACTTCAAGGTAATTAAACATTCGTATTCAGTAGGTACCTTGGTCCTTTACCAGGGGTAAAGCGCGGGCGGGGTGTGACGCTGATCGCTCACCCCCATCTAGTGCCGAGGTTAAGAATGAGTAGGATCTGTACCACCATTCCACCGAAGCACTTACATCGCATGTAGGAGGACAGCTTTGCTTTTTCTGTACCGTTTATTCCATAATCTCAGCAAAATGTTAAAAGAAACTGTGCGTGTGTTTATCAACATTTAACTTTTTTGTTTTCTGAGAAACATTTATTGCATGTCAAAACAATACTTTATCTGTTTAATGTCCAATTTGTGTTCTGTTTTTTCAGGTCACGTCTAGGATTAGGCTTAACTGGTCTGGGTTCAGAACAGGACCTGAGCCTTGAAAGCAATGGCGAGACCACAGCCAATGGGTTAGGCCTGGCTGACTTGTACTATAACTCGAGACCAGAACACGCTAGTGATAGGAGCGCTGCAGCGACATGGTCATATCAACCGCCGCCTCCCCCGGTCATTACGGAGCAACCAAAGCCCTCGTCCACACCTCAGCACTTCCAACCGTATGAAAGAGGTTATCCCAAAACACTAGAGTCGCTGGCAGAAAAGGTGAGATTTATGTTAAGTCTACTAAAAGATCTTTCCAGCAAATCTTTTGTGGAAGCAAAGAGAAGACAGACTTTTTCTTCTTATCTTTACATATTTTGCAGCTTAATGGTTATACATACCTCAGAATCCTTTTTCTAGTATGTGTTTGGAATCCTCTTAGTTTCTTTTCCCCTTTAGATTTATAATTCTGCGCATTCTTGGGTGATGTGTCAACCCATTCTACTATATGATATTTTTGTTTCTCACATAATTCTGTCTGGAAGTCTTTTCAGTAGCTGGACTATATCCACCGTCTGTCGAAAGCCTGTGAATGTCTTAAAAAATTACTATATATTGAAGGATGGATCTTTATTCCTCATCAATTATAGAGCAAGACGACTACTCTGTTCGATGCGACAGTCTATCGGATCCAGCATAAGGAGACAGACTGAATAAGATTGGAACTCTAGCATATAACAGCTGGCAACTATTTTAACATTTGTGTGTTGATAATGACAGTATATTGTACAAAAGTGCAGAAATATGCATTCAACTTATTTTCAGTAATATAAATAGATAATGTATATAGAAAGAAATTGGTAGACCATGTAGACAGAATAGGTGAAGACGTGCTGAAAATAACTTGGTGTTATAAACCTACTTCATGAAGAGGATAAGAAGACCTCAGGCATGACAGACGATGACATAAAATATTTAGAGATTTACAATCATTAAGTTGTGTATCCATAAAGAAAGAAGAAGACATCAAGTTACACACACCTTCAAAACTGTAAAGCTGCTGTGAGCGTGTCATTAGAATACAGTATATTCACGTGTATGTTTGTGGTTTTCCAACTGTTGCAGGTGCATGCGTTCTACTCAGGTCCTCCCCCTCCACCCGGAACAACATCCATCACATCAACGAGGCGTATGTCAGCTGGTCCGCAGCCCAGTTCAAGCACGCTGCGTCTGCAGCAGCACCAGCAGCCGCACTATTACGTTCAGACAGGCACGCGGCGGGTAGGTGGACGAGTTATGCCCCGCTCTGGTAGTGACCAGCACCTACCTCGCGTAGAATATGACTACACCATAGGAGGAGGGTAAGTGTGATTTATAATTTTAGTAGCATTAACAAGTTGGTGGAAAGAAAATAATTTCCTGGGTTCCTGGACTGCTGTATGGAATTTGAGGAAGTTCATTCCAGTTTTATCCACTTCCAGCCTTCAACATTTTTCTAACACCCAACAGACAACGTTTCTTAATCATACATAACTGGAAAAATTACTGTTTTATATATCATGACTTCAGTATTCTGTAAAATAGATGACAGAATAACTGATTTCAAATTGAATTCTAACAACCATTTCCAGAATTTATTTTTCTATTAATCTCTGAAACTGCTCTGAGATAAATACAGTTTATTTCCTTATAGCCTTGGCACTCGGCAGACTTCGCACACTATGCTGAGATCCAGCCTCAAGTCTGCTGGTGGTCCCACATATACGTCGAGGTACAGGACGTCAGATATCTCATCACAACAGAGGCAGCAGCCATTTTCCACCGGGACGCTTACTAGAAGACATCGCCCATCTCTCGACTACGCGTCTGATACAGAAGCGACTTGCACGTCCTCACCACGTTCCTCCTATTATTACTACAGGTGTGGAGACCTCACTGAAGTGGCATTTCATGTTGATGTAATTTGTTGTATTACAATGGAAGTGAAGTTACATCATATTAATTAAACTCTGCTTGGCCATTGATTTTGTCTTCCTGAGTTACCATTTATTGCGTTTGACTTTTATTTATTTATTTTTTTATCTTATCGTGTTGCAGTTTCCGTGTCATGTCATAGCTCAGGTAGTCAGACCCCAAGGCAGTCAGTTCATGTTCTGTGGTGGAATTTTTTCTATGTCAATCATAATTTTTATTTAGTTTTATAATTATTTTTCCTAAGCCCAAATAATTAACACTTTGTAACGACATCTTTTCTCATCTGCAGCTTCATTTATGACTCTGTACTGACTTGGACTCTTTCTAACCTGAAAGTTCAGTGTCCCTAATACAAAAGTCCGCTAATGGACATGGCTTAATTTGACTCAGAGTAAAGAAGTTTGTTCAACTTTTATAACTAAACAAATACTATTTTTCTGAGATTACCCAAATGCCAGGTTGGAGATACAGCCCCTGATAGATTACCCAAATGCCAGGTTGGAGATAAAGCCACTGACTTATGACTGTGGGTATGATAATGTCCTGCTTAGTGAGGGCTAACATACATCTTGTGGTGTGGAATGGTAATCGTGGATCAGCTGTGGAATGATTATTAGCTGGAGAAAACTGAATAAATTAGAATAAAACCTGATTTGTTGCCACTTCATCCACACGAAATCTGGAATCTGAAGTTTCCTGCGATTAAACTTGGGTCTCTGTAATTATAAACTAGCATGTAGCCTCCTGACCTAAGGCACAGCTACTCAACTTTAATAACTGTTTCTTTAAATCTAATGTGAGCATTGTATAAAGATTCTAAATCTGAATATCTAATGTGAGCATTGTATAAAGATTCTATAAAGATTCTAAATCTGAATAGTGATCATATCCTGTGACCAAGAACTGGTTTATGTTAGTAGTTAATTTTTTTTCATTTCTGATTTATAAGGCAAGGTCTTGCAATGCAGTCGCCTCGTACATCCACGCTGTCACGGCCACACGTAGGTGTGGGAGGCACGGGCTCGTCGGCTGTCATGGCAGCCGGGCTTCGTTCAAATTCCTTGCCGAGAGACCACAGAGGCCGAAGTCACCACGCACAGCCAGGGCAGATGCCGAGACACCACATGGTCAGATTTGAGCGGGAAAGTGGGGGAAGTGGTACGACCGGATTATTGGACCAAGAGGATAGTGACGGTGCTGTGTCTGCCCCGGAACTTCCTGTGACCAGGAGAGAAAGAGGTAAATGGTGCAGCTTCCTATAGCAGATGAGTGAGTGAGCACTTCAAAATGTTATGTTGTATTATTAGGTGAGATTTCACAGCAACAAGAATGGTCTCTTAACTTTTTGAATGTGCTGTGTAGTCTGATAGAAAATGACAAATATTTCAAAGATGCTACTGCCTCCATTATCAGGGTAATAAAAATTGAGGAAAGCTTGTAAAAGTATGTTGTACTAGACTTTTTTAAATCAGAAGAAAATAATCTGTAACATGTTTATGAAAATGTGAGTATATCCTGACATATATATTCATGAAATCATTAAAAATTTATGCTGTGATTTATCATCCATCTTATTCTATCCAATTCTTTATTTTTGAACTTTTAAGTGGTTTGCAATTGTATCTACACTGGCTATTTAATATTTGCAGTTATGCCATTTTCTCAGAATTTGTTTACATCAATATAGTTTTTTACTCATGTGTCAAAGCAGAAGTTACCTATCCATCAAGATCATTGCTTGAAATGTCAGAAAATAAAATTTGTTCACCATGTTGTCTCACAAGTCAAGTTTATTATTCCAGTTTAAAATGCTAAGAAAGTATACGACGTAAATTTCTATAAAAATATTCTATCAATGTGAGATAATTTTCTTTATGCCTCCATAGGTCGCATACCGTCATCACCCAGTGTGTTCACTGCCGATGAGTACCGAGCATGGCTTCAGCGCACACCGTCCACCAGTGCCATATACGAACGGATCCGAACCAGCCATGACATTTTACAAGCTCAGAGGGCAGCCAGGTTTACATACAGTGCTGAAAATCTTCTTGACCGGTCTAGGGAGGTAAGTTTGCTTTACCTTAATGAGGACAATTTTGTTTCTGGAAGGATATTTGTAAGTCATGTTTATTAGAATAATTTAATGTTTCAAGAAATTAAGAAAATGGAGTAAACTTCACTAGACTCTTGATTATCTGGGTAGGTTGGGAAATATATTTTCTTGTATAATCAAAACTCTAAATAATAACAAAAATTAAAAAACAAACACACAAATGTAACAAATCTGTAAATTTATTTACAGACATACACTAGTTAAATTTTTGTAGATTAATAATAACAGAAAGGATTTTATGTAAAATTTAATATTATACGTACCAACTATTTTTATGAAAAAGGATTCCAATGGGTAGTAATAATCTGTTGTCATAAACTTTAGGTTTCAAAGTAGGTAGACCCTGGTTAATCCACCCCTGGATAATTGGGAGTCTACTGTAATGGAAGAGAATACCATAAATTTTCAAATAGACTGTGTCCCTCTTAATGCAGAACCTGTCATGACAGCATGCTACAGTAGCAGTGAGTGAACTATCAGGAAATAAGTTAGTCACAACACTGATCGTAACCGTCGCGTGCCGATTGGTGGGTTCCAGGTTACATGGTGCTCTCTGTAATATTCCGTGTTATTTACAGTTTGTGCCTGCATTTGAATACGAACAAAACCCATTTTTTAGTTAATATCCAATGTTTGTGTGAACATTTACATTATAATTATAATTATAATACAATTAATGAATTTTGGAAGGTTTAGTGCCATAGAAATTGTCAGACGGTGATTGCATCAGAACATTAGATGGAACGTCATTAGTGCCTTCTTGATCATGCACACTTGGGAGTTTTGTGCCAGTATCTATATATGATTTCAGCTCTAGCAGCTGAATTATATTGAATATTTATGATATATAGAACATAATTTTACATTTTTAAAGCTATAAGAAAAGACTTGCAGGTATAGTTCAGAACATAAGTGAAACACGTAGAAAACTTAAACAGGACCAACTGCTTGACATGGAAATATGTGGCCATGTTATTCTGCTTCAGATTTTGGAGGTGTAACTGGGAAATTGTGCCATTGTATTTCAACCAGTCAGATTATTACACCATAACACGAGTTCATCTTTAAGCGACACAAATGACACCTAATCTGATTCTCCTAAAACAAAAGCAGACATAATACACCCCCAGAGAATGTTTTGATTGGTTACAGCCGAGAAAGTTAAAGTAGTCGCAACTGACTCATCAGATACTAGCAGTTTGCAAGTTGTGATGTATTTAAAATTCTGGCCTTGGAAAGAAATTTAGGTTTTCTTTTGTGATCTGTCCACTTCAACTGCATATCTCTTCACATTTTGGCAAATTACAGATTCCAGTTTTATCCAATTTTGGTACCCATTTACACTTCCAGTCTGCATTATTATTTATCGTAAACATATATTAAAGTTCTGCCTTTATCATTATGGGCTGATATATTATCATAATCTCTCTACAACTGTTTTAATTTTGAGTTGGGAGTAACTGTATTTTGCTCCCATTTTCAGTTACGATTGCAAGAATTGCTATCTTCTAAAGATCGGAAAAGAAAGGTATGAACACGTACATTTCTATCAGTCATGATGGCTGTTGTGCACTACTTTTTTTTTTGGTGTATTTCTGTGATATTGTCACAAGCTAATAATTTTCAGTTCAAATTCAGGTATCTTCAAATTGGAAATACTTGACATGATGGACTGGAACACCTAATAGCTTGTATGAATTGAATGTGTTTATCACAATTCTCAGCATTGAAATATTGATAGGATTTATTTTTTACGAAAAGTATATGCTGGTTTTAAAATGTTAACGAACATTAGGTTTGGTTTCTTTAAAGGAGTCAATTCGGTTTTCCTTTCCCTTCAGTTTTGACATTCTTTATTAATCTGAACTCAGTTGTTTCCTGTATTCAGACACAGACTGATCAATATTTTGAAACTAAAGCGTGTTTAAATAATATTAAGAATTCAGGCCGTACCTCAAAGAAAACACTACACTTCACCATTACAAAGATCATCTGGTTAATGTTGTTTAAGGGAATAATCACTGTTTACAATGAGAATCATCTGAAACCCATAAATATAAAATTAAGAGCTATTGATTGTTGTAGCAAGTGGAATATGTGGTTGCTGTTAAGTTTTTTTCTACAAGTATTTGCTGTTTTGTAGTGATGTTTATAGAGTCTAAGATTTTGGGTGTTAGTAAATAACCTCATATCTCTAGATAAAAAAAAAACAACAGGAAGCTGTGAATAGTTTTGTGTCTCAAGCAGAACTCTGCTTTGTGGAGTTTGTGTATTGGTAATTTAGCTTTGTATGTACTACTCAAATAACTTGAAATGGATGCCAACATCCCTTTTAGTACATAAATTGCATAAGAACTGCTGTCACCGGTTTTCAACGTTGTAACGAAGGCCTTGGTTTGAACACGCATTCTTTCTGGTTTTATTCATTGCTGTGCAGAATGGTTTGTCTCAATTTAACTGTTTTCCAAGTTTTATTATTAGTAAAAAAAATAGTTTAAATATTTCTAAAAGATCATTTGTGTCCTCTGATGCACCCTACAATTCATAACCACTAGTGAAAATTTGTCTCTGTCCTTTATGTTTATGTGTCTGTAATTTCCTGTTTGTTTGCTTTTCCATTCAATATTTCTTCTTCATTTCTACTTTCTCTGCCTTCATTATCACCATTATCATTCACAGATGTGTTTAATTATCCACAGAATTTTCATTATCTTAATCTGAATCAATTAAATTTGGTTTTGAATCACTTACATCTGAACTCACTGCAAGATGTTTCTCTCACAGTACAGCTATGTTACCCACCCAGAACTGAATATGGCTGATGTTGAAGGCCATAAGATCCTCTGAAATGTCAGTCGTTATCTACCAGACCAGACTATAAAGTGCTATGGCAGTAGAACATGTTTAGATGGTAGTACAAATTAGTTTGTAGATTTTCTTTGTGTACAATTACAATATGAGATCCACAGGGTAGGGTGTCTTCAGAAAACATCAGTGCTGTTTTATCATTCTGTATATCAGAAGTTCAGAATCACTAATTAACATTATCTGTTTTAATGAGTTATTCAGTTATTATTGATTGTGGAAGAGACCTATGTCATTTTTGCACACATCTTTTAATTGCATAAGGAAATGCATGTGTTTAGCATTACCAGGCAAGTTCAAATTTGAACTATCATAGTATGTTTATTCTTTTAGGTGGGAGATTTTCAGTATTTTAGTGTGTTTGCTTTACATTTTTTTTTATGCATGACTCAAAAACATACGCGATGTTGTACCATGTGAAATGACGTGTTGAGTAATCTGCGATGATTTATATGTGGCAACAGGAGCAGCCCTCCTACTCATACCGCCCGCATATGACGAGCACGTTGGACAGACACCAGTACTCGTCATCTCGTTCAGCAGCTACCTCTGCTGGTCTGAGTGGCAGCGCCACTACAAGCCGCACTTCTTCCATGCGTCGCTTGCGCCACCAGCAGGAACTGGAATCCAGGCACATACCCAACCCTTCCCCGACAAGGACGCAGGATCCTCGCTCTAGATTATTGGATATAAATCCTGCAGGTGGGATTCAGTTTGCAAAATTGGAAGAAAAATATTATTGGCTACAATAGAAATGAAAACAAATTAGTATATGATAAAGGAACAGTTGTTTAGATAAGTTTTCTGTAAACTTGGTTTTGTTCTATAGAATTCCTCAAGTACAAGATGGATAAACCACCCAGTACTCTTGGAGTCTTAGGTGGCGATACTGTTGTGACAGAGCCTGGAGTAAGCGGCTTGTTGTGGGTACACCTACTGGCAGGTAGAGGACTGCGCTCCACTACCTCATCCTCAGCAGCCACGACACCTTCCACCCCTTCGGGACCACCAATTGGTAAGATGTTTATTTCTAACTTAAGAGGATCTGTAACTACTTACGTGTAATAGTCAAGAGAAATCGCTATTAGCATAGCATGTTTCAGGGTTCGGAAACATTAAACTTAATTTCTGAAACCACTGATACTACTGTAGTTTACTTTTCTCATAAAGCTTGGGTGGAAACAAACCAGAAGAATGCTGTTCAACAGAATGGGGAGTGTGGGTAGACCAACTGTATTCAACAGAATGGGGAGTGTGGGTAGACTTACTGTATTCACATGCTCTTCAGCTGGCTCCAGTCAGGTCACATGGTATAGAGCGCAACTTAACAAGTGTTGCCAAGTATGTCTTACAGCTGAAAGAGATGCCTGAGACAAAATATGTGACATCGCATTGTACTGAACTGCTGAGGACAGAAATGTCTCAGACCACTGCCAAGCTACAAATAAAGTCTGTGGCTTACGGCTATCCCCAACCTGCTGTTGTATTTCCCAGTGAAGGTCAAACTTCATACTAATTACTGATGTTCACTTATAATAATTCATCAATTACCATCATCACACTAAAGTATTTAATACAGCCACCATGTTATTTCCAATTTTCATAAAGCAGTACCTTAAAGTAAGTTTCATAGTTTTCTAAGATTTGTCATTATGAAAAACTGAAGGATCATTTGAGCTAAATGATGTTATTTTGTCCTCATCTCAGAATTTCAGATGGCTACCATATTGAAATCATCGACTAAGGAATGTATCAGTAGATCCAAGTCACTAACATTATATACAGTATCATGAAAATCAGTCAGTCTTTATGGTATTTATGTTTCTAATTTAATTAAGTGTAGTATTAAATAAGAATTGAAATGAAATAGAATTGATTTTTTTTAGTTATTACCTGTAGTTAGGAATATTAGACTCACATTTGGGCACCAATATGCATATGGGTCTATTTTATTAAATATAAATAAAGTCTTATCTTTATTAATTCTTGAATTACAATTGCCAACATAGGACAAACAGGCTTTCTAAAACTAAGGTTAGGATCATATCCAGAGATCTCTATCTTCTGGGATGTTGGCAGTCACCCATATTATCCATCACAGGGCAGCCACCATGATGATGGATGCATCAGACACTTCTGGAACACTGGTAACCTCTACCAACAAAACAGTACAATAACCCAGAAGACAGCCATCTTCATATCCATTGTAGCTTGGACAGTAAACAATTCCCAGTATAATTGTGGTGCTATCTGTTTATGCACACAGGAAGTTCCAGTAGTACAGGGCTAAGAGATCTTTACTGTGTGCTGGAATGTGACAGAGTACACAAAGCAAGAACAGTAGTGAGAACAGGAGACTTGGTTTTTGACTGGGATGAAACCTTTGAACTGGATTTGGTCGATAATAGAGAGCTAGACTTGCTGATTTACTCATGGGATCCACAGTACAGACACAAGCTCTGTTATAAGGTATGTAATATATTTGCTATTACAGTATTGACATTTCATCACATATATCACTTATTTTATCCACACTAGTAAATTACCTACCAAAAATTACAGGAAGATCTAAAGTCATAAATATACATTAAAAATATTATAAAAATATACCCGAAGTCATGAAATACCTTAGCAGCATTACCATGGCAATGGTGTAATAACACACACATTCATGTTATTATTATCATCCCATAAGGTCCAATATCCCTTGACAGCTAATGATCACCAGCCAACCAATCAAGCTGCTAATAGTTTCTTGTTGGTATGCAGGTGGGTGGGATGTAAGTAGGCGTTAAATAATCGCTATACATTGGAAATATAGAGGTTATAACCATTTCTCAATGCCTACTTACTTCCCACCCATTCTGTAGAGTTATGAAAAATAGAATCAAGATAACATTTTGCAAACATAACCTGAATGTCCGTCAGAGCAAACTGGTAAACATCATGTTTAATGATAATGTGGCTTTGTTATTGCTACATTGCACTTGAATACAATGAATTAACTGTTCTGTCCAAAAGAAAGTTATTGGGTGTGAAGGGAAGGTGAGTTAATAAGTACATTATCAATTTGGAAATTAAAGATTGGCCCCATATAGGGCATATCCATTTCTTCATAAACATTTTTCAACTTCATTGATATTTCAGATAGTAATGTTTTCCATAACTGATCTTTCTCAAAAGTCCTTGCTTAAATGATGGAGCCAGGTGTGTTTTTTTTCTTTTTCTTAATGTATTTGAATTATTCACTGAAATCTGATAATACTTATTAGACAGTGGGTAGAAATATGGCTCCAACTACTCTTTAAAAGGGAAAGATGGATGTAAAGTGTTTAAGGTAATGACAGTATACAATAATAGTAAGACTGTATCAAATGTACGTATGCCGAGGAAGTTGAGAGTGAAATGTGGCAGATTAGTGCTGAAATATTGATTTTTCTGCCCTCCAGGGCTCAGTTCATTTAGCGTCTCTGCTTCGAGAGTCACCTATCCATCAGCTGGCGCTTAAGATTGAACCACGGGGTACCCTTTATCTACGACTTAGGCACACAGATCCTAGTATAACCTTCAAGAGACGAGGCATGAAAGGACACCATATATTAGGTAAATGTATATATTAATGATATGGATTATGTACTTGCTTGTGAAACAGTTCATACAGATGATAATACTAATTGTGTAATTTTTCCCATCTTGTAGTAACATCTTCAAACCCAGATATTTTTCTTAGCACTTTTTTCTCACATAACCTCAATTTTTGTTGTTCTGCCAGAGTGAGAAACCAAGTTTTACACATGCATAAAAGAGTGAACGTGTTTTCATGTTATGTTGTGTGTCACTAGCCCAGTATTTAATTCCTGCTTGATTTTCTTTGTAAGACTTGAGGTTCTCACAGCG